AGTTTGAAATCTTAAATCCCTTTACCCTGAAGGCACTAACCAATAGCGAGCAGTTCGTTCGACGTTATTGCGTTATGCATCAGGAAACTTGGTAAAAACCGGCACCTAATGGCACGGCAAGGAATTTTGGTTATTCTTATGGAATGACACAGGGATATCCTATTTTCTTTTTTGAGAACCTGGTTTATATGATCTATAATCCTCTCATGACAAACACCTGTGGTCGCCTATACAGTTCCTATACAGTCTGCGTCGAGATATTGTCCATACAAATTTTGCTATGGAAATGTACATAAACTATAGTCAGCTATGATCGCTAGCATTGGACAATATCTCGACGCATACTGTATAGGTGGTCCCAGTTATTTGTCATGAGAGGGTAACAGATCATATGAACCAGGTTCTCAAAAACAAATAAATAGGATATCCCTGTGTCATTCCATAGGAATAACCAAAATTCGTTACCAAACCATTAGGCGCCGGGTTTTACCAAGTTTCCTGATGTGGTCTTGCTAAGCACCCGTCAAACAAAAATAGAGCTTTATAATCTGGACTGTCCTCCATTCACGTGGGTTAAGCTTACGCTCCTTAAAGAGAAAAAAAAATGGCCGTGAACTTTGAAGTATACTGCCGCTTTCATCATCACTCATGTCCGACCAAAAGCCAATTACTTTATACACTGCGTTCACTCCCAATGGTATGTAGTACATAGCTGGCATAGTGGTTCTAGCTCCAAGAGACTAATTACAATTGAATACTTTCAGGATATCCCATTTCCATTGCTTTAGAGGAGCTCGGAGTCCCTTGTGAGTTTATTCTCAGAAAACTTTATATGGCATACATACAAATACTGAGCTAGCCTCTGATAGACCATGTGAAGGCGATTTCTTTCAAAGAAAACGAGCAAAAGAGCGAATGGTTCTTGAAGATCAACCCTAATGGTTTATACCCTTACGCTTAAATTATTACGATATCACTCATAATATATGGTTGTTCCTAGGTCGTATCCCCGCCATCGTCGATCACAAAAATAACGACTTCGCAGTCTTCGAGACCTCAGCAATCTTATTATGTGAGATACTCTAGTTT